CTTTAGCTTTAAAAGGAAATAACAGTGGCTACTTAATTATAGAAAAGTAAAATTCAAATATTATTTTAACTATTTTCTTAAATACTGAACCATAAACAAAAAACGTACAATATGCTTGAAAGATTTTTTCATAAATCCTGCACCCTGCCTAAAATCAAAAAACTTCAATTGAGGAACACCTCGGACAATTGGAATCGAGTGTGTATCTGCTTAAATTTTAAAAGAGTTATAATAGTAACATTATTAAGGCTAGATGTTTCGGATCAGGGTCTTGTTAATTAATAAACTTATTCTATACTTAATCCAAAAATTTTAAGTACACGCTCTCATATTTCATATATAATCATTTTTGTTCATTATTTTTAAACAGAAATTTCAGCAAAATTTTGGTATTCTGATCATCTCGATTTATTTAATAGCTTAATTGGGTGTTTGGCAAGCTCTACTTTATCGATTTAATTTACAAAAAAACACAATTTTTTAGTAAATCCAATATAATTTTTAGTTAACTGAATGTTATTGAGTGATGCTTTACGTTACATGGAGAATATTTAAAATAATATTTTATTACATATCTATGTACGTATTTAAATATAACTAACTATTATGAATAATGGACGTACATACAATTGAATTTTAATATTACAAATAATGTTTACATAATTTTTGTAATCCTTGTACAAAAAACGGAATTCCAATTATTCCAAAGATACCGACAAGAAATTCCATACATGAAATTCCAAACATAATTTGCTAGCGATGTACATATATATATATAAGTATGTATGTGCATGTATGTATGTATTTAAATACACAACTCTAACAAATGATTAATATATATAAACATACATATGTATGTATGTATATACATAAGTAAACAAATAATTAAATTCAATTCAAATTTATTTTTGCAAAAATAAAAAAAAAAGTTTCAAAAACAAAATTAAAAGTTTTTCATTCTTCATAAATCAAAATTTTAAACCACACTTGAGTTACTTATAACTAGATGGTTACTCGCACAACTCTATATACCTAAATTAGTAGATATAACATTTTTTAAAAACCGTAATTAAACAATAATTATCGGATTAAATTAAGCTTTACGGCGAATATTACAATAGCAGTTAAGTCGAAAAACTCATAATCGTGATTTAAAATAAGAAAAACATGGTGGTTTTTATAATTTAAAATAACCATAAAACTTAACTAGAATTGTGGTATCACCATTTGTTTTACCACCTAGCTAGAAGATTTTTTGAATAGAAAAAACAGCAACAAAAATCAAAACATTTGTACTGAAAACAAGACGCAAAAAGTCTTGACGAAAAAAAAATATTTTTCATTTAATTTTCATTTTTTTTCTTCTTTTTTTATGAAAATGAGTTCAATGGCATCACACCATTTTTGGCTTCAAAATCTCTTTAAGAAAAATATGTACATAAAAACAATAACAAAACAAAATTTTACTTGACACGTTACTGTAAAGGGGGAAACAAAAGGAAACCAAAAAATAAAAAAAAATAAAAAAATCGCCAGCCTAGAACTTTTTATTTTACTCTTCTTTGCTCAGGTTATAGTCTAGTGCTTTGGTTTTTATTATATTTATGCATTATTATTATTATATTTCATGTGTTCATAAATTTGTTGGTATTTATTTTAAAATAGGGGCGATCTCATACTTAAAGAATTGTGCAAATACATGTACCTGTATAAGTGTATGCATACAAAAAATAAAATAACTTTCCAAAAGTTAAATCATTCTAACTCTAACTAATTATTTTTGAGCCAAATCAGGTAAGGATTTTTTAATTACATATACTTAAGTATGTATGTAGCTATAATTTGGTTTCCATTTTTAAAACATTTTTTTTATTCAATTAAAATTTATTGAATTTAGCATATTTTTTTGCCTTTACTGAGTCAAGTATTCTTAATTTAACATTATAAATAATCAGACAAAGAATTGTTTACCAACAAAATTTACCTCTATTTACATAAGTATGTTTGTAGATGTATACCCACTTATTATAACTTAATCTTACGTAGGCGAACAAATATATATTTTATATTTGATCAACTTTATCATTTAAATGTATGAGTTAAGTAACAAAAAACCGAGCCAAAACAAAACTGTTGATTCAGTTGGAACTTTTTAAGCTTATATAAGTTAAAATGTGTTAGAAGTTTTTATAAACATATCTATGTACTTAAACATGTAATTAGGATCATAAGTAAGAGAAAAATTTTAAAATTTAGCAAGTTCTTTAAAATTAAAAATTAGTAAAATTTAAACCTCTAAAAATACTTTTATGAATAAAAAAAGCGATAAGTAACTTATTGAGCTACAATAAGAATAATTAAGAAGAATAATCTAAGAAAGTAGTTAGCTAGATCATCGTATATTTGTCAGTTTTTACTACCTACATAATTTCGTACGGTGTTCTTAAATTTGCAATATTTGAATTAGTAAGACTATCCAAATTATGTTTTTGTGATTTCAACTGAATGCTAAGCAGCAGAACATTTTCGACCAACTTTTTGCACGACCGAATTTATTTTAAATAAAAAATTAAGATAAATTAAATTTTTTTTTTGTTCAAGACTTATTTTCTTTTTTCGCGTACTCATATATGTACGTATGTATAGGCACTTATTATGCCATCGTTTTATCATATATACATAAGTATTTAGTTTTCGAAATACATAAGTAATATTTCCAAAATTTTGCAATAAAAGAGAATTTAATAAAGGTGAATAATTAGTGAAGCCGAATTAAATATTTGAAATGCAACTTTTCTATACTTAAAAGACAAGATTGCTTTTCAAGTACAAATTACAATTTCTTATTACATATGAATGTATTTAATTGCATAAGTATAAAGAAATTACTTAACATTAATTCTAAGTTAAAATAAGTAGTCAAATTTCAAAAATCTGTTCTCTAAGTTCTGTTTCACCTCTTTATTCTACTTAATAAATTTCATTATGATTTCTCAGAAATAATTTTTTACTCGCCTTAAATATTTGTATGAATTTCACATTAACAAAATCGCAACTACATACTGAATAAGTATATATTACCAAACATTAAACAATACTTAAATCTACAAAAACATAAGTATTTAATTATATGTATGTATATTCTGTTATATTAGACGTAAATATGCATGTATGTATGTATGTATAAATTTTTCACGTTTAATTTTAATTTCAAATACATACATATGTATATGTATTAAAAACATTGTTATTTTGTTTTTTAGTTCATGAAAACCAAACTGAGTTATGTGAAACGCTTATTTTTCATTTTCTTTGTTTTGATAACGTCTTTTCAACTTAATATGATTTTTAATTTTTTGTTTTGTTTGCAACTCTATTTATTTCTCAATCATCATATCGACATACAAATGGAATTTAGTGATTGTAGCAACAATAAAATGTGAGAGCTTTCAAAAGAAAAAATATTTATGAAATAAAATATTATGTCTTTTATCATTAAGCTTATAGTCTAGTTTATAGTCTATAACTAACTCTAGAGTTACAATTAAATGGAAGAAAAACGTATTAATTTTTGGTTTTTTAGCTTTCCTTTTTTAATTTCTTTCTGGATCTTGTTTTCTTTTTTTGTGTCGTTTTCTGTTTAGAAATTTAATCATAAATCATAACATTAGACGGTGGTCAAAATAATTTCTAACAAATTAAATATACTTATAAGTACCCACTTGTTATTTTTATTTTTCTTGTGTTAGGATGTGGTAATGGTTATAGATACAATTGTATAAAATGATTTTTTTAATTAAAATTAAAATTTATATTTCAGTTTGAACCTCTTTTAATAAATTTAGCTATTAAAGACATAGATTAAATGTAACTAAGTAACTAAAATTTCAAAATATTACGAAATATGAACATAAAATGACGGGTTACTGTCGAAGCGTGTAAGTGGTTAAGATACTTAAGATTTATGCATAAAATACTTGCTTTAACCAGATACATTATTGAGATACATTTACGTAAATACTTATATCAATATTTCTCTTCAGCACTGAAAACATAACAAAATATTAACTTTTTGAATAATAACATGTACAAGAAGTACGGAAATATTCAAGGACAAAGTGAATTTAAATTATTTGTTGACCATTTGATTGATGATTCACTAATATTATTGCTTTTGACAACAACTCGTATTTGAAAATGTGTGCAAGTATTTTGATGGGAGAAGTAAAAATATGTGTAGATATTTGAATAAATATTGTTATACTTTATACAATAGAAAGTTGGTATTTTTGCTTTCAACTTTTAGAAACTTTTTTTTAATTTTTTAATTTAATACTTATTTTTAAGTAGTATAATTTATATTCTTCATATGTTAATAATTAATGAAAGAATTTGCACGAATAAATTGTTCTCTAAAAAATCCTATAAGCAGCTATCATACTTTTAAGTATATGTGCTGACTGATGCTACAATCTTTATTACTTAAGTTATAATTTAAAAAAAAACTTCCGCTTAACAGCTACATACATAGATCAATAATTTAATTAAGTAAACAAAAACAATATTTCCATAGTGATATCACACCGTTTAATATCAATATTTTTTACCGTTATTATATTCGAAAAGTTTACTAAATTACCTAAGTTACGTTACTACAATCAAACATCATTCATAATATTCGTGTTTTTCTACAAAATGGTAAAAAAAAGGGGGTCAACTATTTTTTTGTTTTAACTGAAATATCTAGTTGTATATTTCAAATTTTTTTTGTTTTCATTCTTTTTTATAATAGCTAAGCGGAAGGTTTATAATCATAACCTTGTAGGTACAAATGTTGCATTGAAGCTTGTAAAATATGTTTGTTAATTATACTACACAGACATTTGTATCTAAGTATATATACATTAGTATAAAGTTATAGTTAAGTATTTGAAGCACTTTGATAGAAATTATTGCAAATTTCGACTTAAATTAAAAAAGATTACTTTTTTAAATTTTACCTCTTTTGTTATATCCACATTACTTAGAAGAGGTTCTTTATTTTCTTCATTTATTTTATTATCAAAGTCTTCTGTAACTGGATCTTCTGATTTTATTTGAACTTCTTCAGCAACTACAGTTCCATCTATAGTATACAAATTATTTTCTACATTAGTTTCAGGCTCTGGATCTTCTTCTTTTATATTTAATAGTTCATTCCAAGTGGCAAAGCCACTTGAGTCATTAAATCGATGTGTATCATTATTAAAATCAATACTATTCGATGATGATGTTGATGCTGTATCGAAAGCCTGTTCTAATTTAACATCAAATGGTAAACTAAAATCGGGTGGTTCATCTTTTAACGGTCCATGAAATGTTGAAGTAAATGGTGACATTCTTTCAAATTCAAATTCACTGAAATCAATAGATGTTGATTCCATAATTGGTATTTCAGAATTTATGAATTGCTCCAAATCTTGATTTGTTATTACATCAACTGCATTACTATTATTGTTAGTATTTCCAGCGGTAATAATTGATGCAAGACCATGATCAACACTATTCACATTTGTTGTTGTGGATGTTGAATTTGTTTGATCATTTGATGTTTTATTCATCTGAGCATTTTGTACATTCAATAAATATGCAGTAATATTCATATAATTACTAACAGTTGTCGCCCTATCATATCTAACCAGATCTTCAATGAGTGGCATCATTGCCTTACGATTAGCATATGGATATTCTGTAATTGGAACAGCACGCAACATTTCCAGTTCCCATGCATGCCCATTACGCATTTGTGTTTGATTATCCCAATTCCTTCCAATATATAAATCTGGATCAACTTGAAGTAAACTTAATGCAAGAGCAAGTTGAAGCATTTGCTCCGCATAAGATTTCTTATATGAAATCATTTTGTCAAGATTTTTGTTTACTTTTTTTATAGATTTAAAAAATTTCTAAAATAAATGCAAAAGCAAATTAAATAAATTTTATATTTTATACAATTTAATAAGTTTTAAATTTCTTTCGTTTAAAATTTATATATTTCATTATGAATAAATCATATTTTCAAAACTGCTTTCTATTAAAGCTTTCAATCAAAGGTAATTTTCTGTTTTATTGTATGATTAAAAACACTACACTTTTTTAAAAAACATTGATATTTCATAAAAATGTAAATTTCCAATTTATTTCTTTCTTTATATTACTTTACTTTTATAATTTATTAAAAGCTTCAAAATAATTAAAATACAGCCGCAATTTATATCACAGCACTACAAATAACACGTCAATATATCCAATGTCTTTAAAATTTTTTACTCGAAACAAAATATTTCTAAATTTTTCAATATACGAAATTATTTTTTATACTAAATATAAAATGGATTCAAATAGCACTAAAATCAATAAATTAAATATAAACTTTATTAAAAGTAATTATTTATTCAAATTATAAATTAAATAATTTCGTTGTATTTCAGCTTTCTGGCTGATGCACCAGCACAATTTATTCACTCACTTCCTTTTGTCTCGAATATTTTATTTTCTAAATTTTTTTCAATACTTTCCCCCGGTATATTTTAATATTATATTTTATATACTTATTAATTTTATTGTTTATAATACATTAAATCGTGCGAACTTTAAAAAACAAAATGAAATATTCTTTTGTAAGATTTAAATTTTAATGACACAAGTATTAAGACCACTTAATTTCATTCTTCCAGTCAATATAAAAATATTAAGCAGAAAAATAAGAAAAAAAGTGACGTCTACACGCTTTTGACACATAAAAATGACTTGTGCATATAAAATGAAAGCTTTCAACCCATATAACTTGATATGTGGAATTGTGGATTTTATATGGAATAGATTTCGTAAAATTTATATGTAAAAATTATGATGACGACTTGAACTAAATTTAGATTTTTTGTGTTTATTAATTTTTTTTAGTCAATTTAGAAGAAAGAAATGTAAATATCAACAAAATATTTTTACGTAGAATTTTTTACCATATTAATTCTGTCGAAAAAAAAACGCTTTTATTTGTTTGTAATAAATAAATCACTTCCATTCGAATACAAGTTTTTTCTAAAAATATAATTTAGAATCTTCGAAAATATTTTGAAACCAATATTAAAAACCGCATTTAATTGAGACTTGATCAATTTTCAATGTCTGTGAAAATTTCAAAATTAAAATTTTGAATTTTTTTATTAATATTATAATCTCATTGCATATTTATAGTCTTCTTTAATCTCTTTTCCACTACCTTGTGTGTTTAAATATTGCTGCAGCACTTTTTACAAAATAAACACTTTCAACTAACAAAAAAATAAACATTTTTTATGAAATTTTTTTGTTATACTATGTAAACGTCAATTTGTTCCGTATAAATTTATAAAATGCCAATTTTCACGTAATATTTTGAGTTCGGCTTTAATACTGCATTAAATTAAGTGTTATATTTGCAATTTACATTATTGTAGGTGAACTCTTGAAATGACATCATACAATTGCATATAACATGTTAGTCTAAACAAGACCATCAATACTTACAACGTTTTATGCAGTTTCGTTTGTAAGAATTAAATAAATTGTGTATTGGGTCGAAGATGACTTGTAATTTTTTTAAATGAATAATTCAGCCCGAAAACAGATGACTGAAATGATACAATTCCGTAATATTGTAACACCGGTTTCATGACATTTTTTTTAAATATCACGATATATTTTAAGTTAATAGCATGCAACAGTAACTGCGCATAATAGAGAATAACAAAGGAATTTATATCATGTAATAGTAAACATTTCTACTTATGATATTTTTTTATGTAATATTTTTAAAAAAATTCCAAGTTACATTTACAATACACACATACTTATTATTATATGTACATTCAGTTACTTTGCATGGCGCGGTGTTTTTTATTTGTAAATAAATAATGATGTTTTGAATCAATGTTTTTCAACAGTTTTTGAAGAATTGTTGCAGGGCTAAATAATATATAAATTTTGTTGTGTATTATGCTTGACATAAAAATTTCAAGTATGTATTTCTGTCAGCCGTTATATTGGGTACATACATACATAATGTACATATACGTATGTATATAAGGTATGTTTTAAATTTCACAAAATAAATAAATAATAAATCTATAGATAAGTTATTTTGCAATTTATAACCGTTTAGTTTAAGCATACGCGTAAATATAAATAGTACAGTGGTATAAATGGATATGCAAACAGGTACCTAGCCGAAAATAGTTTCTCATCAAAGCAAAAGAAGGTTGACGATTCTTCTTTTGATTTTAATCACAAAATTAGCTAGAAAGGTTGCTAAACAAAATTTTTAGTTCCTATATCAGCGGCGACGAAATATTAAAAGCCTTTTGTGCATATTAATGGGCCTATTATTTTCAAAACAAAATATCCAGTTCGCACAAAGAAGATGAACATAATATCAGAGATAAGCAGATGCTTGTCTCTTGTTATACTATGTACGATCATAAATTCGCTAAAAAAATTTTAAGCACACCAAAAATCCAAGCACCAATCGATACATTGTATTATTATTTGAATAAGAAGAATTTTGTATGAATAGCGTGCCGAATGGAGAAATATAAAAGCAACAAATAATTTTTTTTGTTTTGTTAAAGAAAATTTAGGTCTTATGTGCATACTACATACTAAACACATTTTATAAATAAAAAGTGGGACCATTTTTCTTTCTTTTATATAAAAAACTTTTTTTGAATTGTTTAAATTATCTAAATAAAAAATATCATCAAAAAACAAATTTTAGTATAAAAAGCAAATAAATAGCATTAAAAAAAGGTGCTGTATAAAAAGAAAAAAAAATTGCAAATCTACTAAATTTAGAAAGAAAAATTTGGGGCATTCCCCTGGACTTTAATATGCTTTTTTTATGAATTTATATTCTATTTTCAAGGTAATCTAATTTAATAAATTGCATACATATGTTATGTACTTACCTCTATATTCTTGGTGTTAAAAGCTTAATATTATAATTTACAAATTTTATATATTTTCTAAAAATAATTTTTGTATAAAACAAAATAAAACATATTAGTACATACATAATTATGTAAATACATTATTCACGTAAGCATACACAGAAACGGTATGTTCTTACGCGTCTTGCGATATAAAAAGATTGTTTGCTCTATAGGTAATAATGTGAAAATCTTTATGAAAATGAAATTTTCAAGTTCAGGGAGATTCATCGAGTAGGACATTCACATTTGCTGTTCGATTTTATTTTTAATTTTTTAGCTTTTATATTAATATTTTTTTTTATTTAACTTATTTAAGCTAATTTTAACAATTTAAACAGAAATATTTAGATTTGTGTGTTTGTAGGCATGCTATATTGAATTAATTTTAAATAACGCAACAAATAAAACCCTGACGTCCAACTTTTTATTTTTGTTTTTTTAATTATGCGAAATCTAATAATTTGATAACATTTTTGTTAATTTAATGAAACTTAAAAGAGAAAAAGTATACCTGTATAGGAAAAGATTAGTTTTTTTCATATCTAGTTATAGCACGAATATCAAAAACAAAATTATTTTTTCATGCGGACGCTTAAGGTTAGTTCTGTAAAATTAAGAGTTGTTTTGAAAGTTCTAGAGAGTTTTAAGAAAAATCTTTCGTTTGAAAAAACTTTGTCTAACAAATATCCATAACAGCTTCGAAGCGCTTGAAATTAGAGCAATGTAGTGGTTCAGCTTATTTTCTCAATTAATAGACCTACATAATGATAATGTATATGATTGATGTAAACTTACCGTTTTCGAGTAATAGCTGTTTAAATATGAGCACAAAAAAGTATCTATTATTTTCGAGGCAATTAACCTTTTTGAAAAATTTTAATTTTCTTTTTCTCAAAATTTAAATATTTAAGCAACTATTAGTCGAACACGGTAAGTTTGATATCAATCATGTGAATTACTCTTAACGTTGTTCTAATAAGTGTGAAAAAATTTTGTGTGCACTAAATTGCTCTAAGCTTATCCTCTTCGAAGCTGTTATGAGAAAGGATTTGTCAAACAGAATTTTTAATCTATTTTTCTTTAACCTTTTCTTTTTCTTAAGGCCTTCGAGGTCTAGTCCTTCACACAAACAAACGCTTTCCTAAAAACTTCATGGAATTACCCCCGAGAGTTTTAACACCAGTTCTGGACTACCCTATATATTCTTGTTGTTTAATTAGTTTATATGTATATATGTACAGTACATTCTTCTTGAGCCTAAGGAGCAAATGTAAAAAAGGAATATGTTTTTGCGGAAGCGAAAGTTGGAAAATTCCATTATTTATAAAAGCATAAGAAAAAAGGTAAAGTTCGTCATAAATTTTTGATCTATAGATCCATTCTATCATCGTGAAATGCTGTTGAATAATGTATTTTTTGTGTTGTTGCTTGACAAATGAATTAAAAAATAACAAAAATTTTCTTAGTTTTTGCAACACGCAGATCGTTAAAGCAAATTCAAAAAAATTTTTCAAATTCAAAGAAATTTTAAATCTTTAGCACTTAAATTAAGGTGTCATCACATAGAATTGGATACATTGGTAAGAATACATTCATATAATTTATAGGATCACAAATGCTTGCTTCACATGTGAGGCAAATATACCGTCTACGTATACCATAATACATACATATATATAAAGGCCGGTATAAAACAAGCGTTAAGGTGTCAAATGTTACTGTATACCCTTACAGTAGCAAATTTACAGAAAAAAGAAATTTGACGCATATCTGAATGACTTGAAGTTATTTCATTTCAGTTGCAGATTTAAAAAATACAATTATTAATAAATTAATAATATTTAAGTATGTAATTGAATTACCTTATGATACATGTATCGACATTTAGAGTTACTCTCAGTATTTAGCTCTGACCCAAGAGGGCAGTTGTTAATATTTAGCATTGGTGATAGAGACTTCATTCTCGGCAAATCTACTTCCATATTTAATGCTACAGTGGTTTTATTCTGTCTGAAATAAAAAAAATTTTATTAGAAATTTTTAGTACTAATTATATTTAGAATTAATGGTTCATTATAATATAGCAATTAAGTATGGATCAATAATAAAAAATGTGATTTTAATGTATTTTAATAAATAATTCAAAATTTCTGCAACATGTGGAAGTTGCCACAACAAAGAGTAAAATAAATCTTTTAATGAAAATGTCTTATGAAATTAGGCTTTCGGTTTATAAACAATCTATAATAAAATGTAGTAAAATGAGTAATATTTTGTAGTTATATTATTTTTATTTCAACCTACTGGGAAATAACCCTTACAGATTTTGGAATAAAAAATACAAAATCAGCTTAAAATTAAGTAAAGAAAAAATTAAAGAAATACAACAAATTTCATTGTACGTATAGTATATAATAAAATTAAAGCTTAAGTACTATTTGGTGACATCTCTTCTAACTTTATCTCTATTAGAATCAAAATCAATTTCAGAGGAACAAATGTTAAATAAACGTTGAGAAGCAACTATAGGCTCGCAAAAACCATAATTACTTCTATGCGAATCAAGATATAGAAAACGACGATTTCTGACAGCATGTGCTGAGGCTTAAATATTATATAAATTCAAAAATTGTGGTATTCAACTCCCAATTAAATTTACGCAAACAAAACCGAACCATATTCTTCTGGACAGATTCAATA